CGTTTAGTAGGAACAAATTTCTTTGGTTTACCGAGAATTAATCATGTATTTTCAGTTTATGAAATATTAACAATTCCATTTAAACACCATTCAAAATTTATTCAGTTAGGTGAGATATAGAGTTCTGGTTAATGATCAGAAAACTTTTTAAGAGGCTAAAAACTTTTTACTAATCCGTTTAGCTAATATGTCATCGTATATCGGATATAATCCAACAGATGAAACAATTATAGAATTTTACAAACCGAATTTACCTGATTGTACATTTGGCGCAGTTACATCATGTCGTGATATACCCACTATACATTCGACTTTATCAAATATCTGTCTTGACCAAATTCTGAAGAAAAATAAATTATTGTCGTGCATGTATCAAAATGTACCAGATGCACCACATTTTATCCTTCAACTACATGGTTCTTATTGGGTAGTTTCATTAAACACGTCTGTTGAATGTTTCAAAATCCCAATTATACCATCGGACAATGCATATAAAAATGTTGTTATGAAAAATGAACGAATATTATTGTCATCGGCGTCACTTCTAAAAGTACGCAACAATACAATGATCGGTTGCGATGGTTTCAATATTATGGGTAAGCAGAAAGTAATCACCTATAGTTTAATTATCTAGTGCGATCGGTCAGTCTTTCACCATCGTTACCGTTTTCCGACTTTAAGCTGTTCTCGCATCATAATGTGATTTTCAATACGCATGGTCAAAGGGACTTTAGCATGCTGATCTATGAAAGTATCTTAGATGCGACTATTTCTTATGAATATATAGACAGCTATTGATTTGATCGGTTTGAGAGCGAATGTTTTCGAGAAATACTGTCAGCAACCGCCTGAATAACGAGTTTTTGAAATATTTTGAACGACGGACGCTGAGATGTATCCTTGTAAGATACACGACTGGATGAAGCTCGTCGAGATCTATCTGTTGAACTATTGATCACATTTTGCACAGGTTTGAGAGCGAATATTTTCGAGAAATACTGTCAGAAACCGCCTGAATAACGAGTTTTTGAAATATTTTAAACGATGGACATTGTGATGTATGCTTGGAAGATACACGACTGGATAGAGCTCGTCGAGATCTATCTGTTCAACTATTGATCACATTTTGCACAGGTTTGAGAGCGAATGTTTTCGAGAAATACTGTCAGAAACCGCGTGAAAAACGAGTTTTTGAAATATTTTGAACGATGGACATTGAGAGTGGCTGAAAGCTGAACATGTCAGCCGATAGGAAATTCGATTTGGTGTCTGGCACAGCGATGCGCGAAGTTGGCACAGTTGTCAGACTGAATGTTTTTGTAAAATAGTCCATTCTGCTGCTAGCTTCACCTACGTCTCACACGTTGTTTTTTCGTCTTTCTTTCGCGATGGCTAGTTAAAACTAAAACCATGCAACTTAGCTTACATATTCAATGTTCTTTTGTGTCTAATGGTTGTAATCAAATTTTATCATATGAACAATTAGAACAACATGAAAAATATGATTGTGTATATCGAAAACAACTAAGTCAAGGTTGTCGAAAACTGCGTATAAGAAAGATTTGAAAGAACATAAGAAAGATTATAAATATATTGAAATTACATGTTCAAAATGTAGACTAATATATAACGGGTGGTGCAAAAGTTCTGCATTAATTTTGTTTTGTATATAGCGTTGCGATGGAATATCGTAGAGACTTCATTCTGTTTTTGTTAGAAAGAGCAACGTGTCTAGTACAAAAATATATAAAAGAATTTGATCAGAAATGCTTCTCGAAGGTCACAAAAATCTTAGAAGAAAAGACATCGTGAAATTGTTCTGGAACTTTTTCGAAAAAACTTCATCCAATAAGAAAGGTTATCTTTTTAATTTGTTTATTCTGAATTTTATAACGTACGAACAGGGCACTATTGTTGTACAAAAAGGAAATTTTCTACGTGTTTGATAACTGTCAAAATGAACGCTTTTGTAACATCGTCTTGTATCACCGATTTCTCATCACTGTCGATACGATCGCAGTCGAAAAAATAATTTCTACTCCGAGAGGGAAGTTGCCAGAAATTATATATTTTACATGCAAAAGAAAGCTTATTGAGTCCTCTACGAAACGATATTATTTGGAATTTCTTACTGGTGCGTTTAAGGATGGCATTTAGTTACTTCGACAGGCTTTCTGATCAATCAAAATGTAAATTTTGTGTGATGGATGTGTCTAGCTAACATCTATTTTTATAGGTCTATCAAGCGAGTTTGAGAAGTGATTCCAATCTTCGTGCTCACCTCGGTCGTCAACACCATATGTCACACTTTCTCTACCCGTCACAGCAACGAAGAAAACAACCGATCGACAAAGACACGCTTTTGTCCACTGAGCATCGTCGTCAGCTTCACGATGCCGCAGTCAAGTGTATTGTCGAGGATGGGAGACCTTTCAACGATTTTCGTCGACTTGGAATGCAAGCATTTCTTGCTGTTGCAGTGCCAAACTACAAAGGTCCACATCGTCAGACTCTACGGCGCCGTCTAGCTAGGTTATATGCTGACTATCGACAAGAGTTGAAAAAGACACTTTCAAAAGTTTCGCATTTATCTCTAACCACCGATGTATGGAAGAGCAGCAATCGTGTATCGTATATATGTCTTACCGCTCATTGTTTCACTAAACGATACGACACCGTGCCTCTAGTAATTGGTTTTCGACGAACCGACGGTCGACATGTGGCCACCACGCTACGAGCATACATTCGGTATGAACTTCAGCGCCTTGAAATCGACCGGGACCGTATTACATGCATCATCACGGATAATGGGGCCGATATTAAGTCGGCTACATCAGGCAATGATTTCGGCGAACGATTTTCTTGCATAGTACACAACCTCAATCTGACGGTCACTAAGGGTCTATATCTTTTTAATGAACTCGTTGTTAACAAGTACGTATTGAAAAAAGGTCACCCTCTCTCAGTGTCTCCATGACTTTTCTCGTCATTGCCTTCAAAAATGGATTAATACATATGAGTTGCTCGCTCGCTCTGCATTCATTTGTCGTCGTGTTCTTTTTTCTCTCTTCTGAGAATCTGAATATGTTCAATCATAAGTAATAATGCTGCTGATGTTCATGAATGTGAGAGAGACATCGAAAGAACATGGAAACACTAACGCAGCAAGGTAGCGGCAATCGATTGCGCAATCTTTCAAATCGAAAACATTTTTCCAGCTCTCAACCACCGCATGCGACCTGATGAGAGCTATACGTATTTTTTTTACAGATATCCGTTTGTTGATAACGACGACGACGAAGACCCGGTGGAATTTGTGACCGACAACGTCGCGGTCACCGATGACTCTTCAAGCGATGAAGAAGATGAGCCTCATGACAACAGTGATGATGACAACCAAGAAACACCGCATGAATGTGCTCATACTGCTCTTGATTCAAGTGAATCCATTATTGAAGATGACGAGTTTGAAGACGATTCCGATTTGGACAATGATGCATCTAATACACTGACTTCAGTCGTTATCAATCAGAATGATCTATTCGAAGTATTATTAGGTGTCTATACTTCGCTGACACATGTTCGTCAAGTGGTAAAATTCATTCGAAATCATGGAGTCGTTGATGCGTATGTCCGTAAAATGAAATCTATCGGTACAACTATCAACGAACAACGCAGTGATGGAATAATTCTCGATTTTCGTGTTCGCTGGAACAGCACATTTTATATGCTCGAGCGATTTCTTGCTCATCGGGACATTATCAAGAGTTTCATCCTTTCTCCGGATCGGCTCTGCAATGGCCTTACCAAGGACCAAATCATTAAGGTGAAGTGATTCACATTTGCACATGACGAATGGGATCTTCTCGAATTATTATATATCGTTGTAAAACCGTTAGCTCTTGCTACCATTCTTCTATCTGGTAATCTGTATCCGACTATGGCAACGGCACATTTAGTAATTCACTTGCTGGAGAAATATCTTTCTGGAACTAGAAAATCGGAATCTCCGCTTGTTTCGACACTCAAGAAGGCTCTATGTGCCCAGTTCAAAATCCATTTTATTGACAAAATGTCGCCTGCTCAAAAAACATGGATGCAGGTAATAGATATGCTCAACTTTTCTGAGCATTTCTTTGTGGAAGCAAGCAAAAGAGGAAAGATCCATTGCTCTTCGCAACTAACGAGAATAACTGAGTACTTGACATAAATTCACAGTAGGCATTCATTGAGACTTTTCTTGCTTGAATTACATGTATATGTGGTCACCA